TCTGGGTCTGTTTTTCATTTTTCAATGCAGTGATAGACTTTTTCTGACTTGAAATGTACTTGTTTGGATCCAGGACAGTCTCTGTTCACATCTGTCTTAAAGTGAAGAACAGCTTTTTAACATTTTAGAATAAACATCTTTTTTTATTTTTGAGTAAACATCTTAAATAAATATTCTTCTCTCTATGCTATTCTCTCTTAGAAACACACACACACACACACACACACACACACACTCCACCACTACCACCACCACCGCCACCACCACCACCACCACCACCCAAAACCAAATAAGACACCTTTCTGTGTAAACAAGAAACAACAGTAAGATATACAATATTAAAAATGAACCATTTGTACACAGATAAGTCTCTGCATGAAAAAGGAAAACAAAGTTCAGAAGCAATCATCTTCTACAACATATAATTAGTTTACAATCCAAGTAGAACAGTGGATTCTAATTCAACAGTTTAACTCAAGGTAAAGAATAACCTTGCTGCATTGACTTGGATAGATAACACACCAATTATATGCTTTCCCTCTGAAATGAAGCATTTCCATCAAAAGATAATTATTTCCCCTATATCATATTAGGAAACTATTGTACTTATTTTCTTTGTTGGAGACCAATCTTATTCTCACAATGGGCAAAGATTGGCCTAGCTCCAGTCCCAGGATTATGTATTGGGTTATGCTAATTGTGCTTTGTGGGTTTCAGTTTTATCTAAAGGCTGTACATTGTATTCCAATCCCAAATGCACCAAATCAATGTGTGGGAGTGTATGACTGCATGTATATTCATGAGAGAGTTGTGCCTAGCCTATACTTGTGAAGGTCCAAAGACAACCTCAGGTGTTGATCCTCAGGTGGATACCATCCTTTACAAGACAGGAGAGAGTGGAAGTGACCAGTATCAGTAGTCCTGTGACCTAGTCATAGGCAGGGCATTGTCTCACTTTGGTCATGTTTTCTTAGTTAGAACAAACCAAGAAGGCTGATTTGAGATAGCTGTAAAAACAAAGCATGAAAAGGCTCTTCACAATGCTTCAAAGATTCTGTGGAAACCTGTAGTCAAATATCAGAAATCAAGAAAACTCAGGAAAGTTTGGCAGCTGAAATTAAAAGCAAGCTCACATACCTAGAGCATTATGTGAATATGGAGCAACCACCACTGAAATTTGATTGTTTCCAATGAGGGAACCCTCCCCAGGCTTCATTGAGAATATTTGTTCCTCTCTCTGCTTTCAGCATTCCATCAATATACTAGTCATGCGCAGGGCACAAAGTTCCAGAAGGCTGAGAAACAGAGGCTTTAACAATTCACTTTTAGGCTTTTATGGCAGAATCTATTGCATTAGCATCTTACAGGACCTATGAACAGCACCAGGCTATTTCTGAATAATGAGGTAAGGGGCAGATTCTCTAGGAAATCATAGGATTTAGAAGGTATAAGGACCTTCAAATTCTAGGTTTTCACTTATTATTTTAAATTGCTTTCTGGCAACACATTCCTGGTTATCCAGTTAGCTTTGGGGTCATAGTTTGGATCCCCTTTTTATTTACAAATTGTGTAGTTTCATTTGCAAGGTTTTTAGGTCAGTTCTGTGAGATGAATTGCAATTCAATCTCAGAGGGAATAAAAACAAATTAAACATATTTAATTTCCTAATACTTATCCTCCAACCCTGTGTTTCCTATAGCAGATGTAGTTTCTTTCATACCCAGAACTGGAATGTGTGTTAGCCTAACTCTCCCTCTACTGGTAGTTTATTTAATTCATCTATAGTTGCCTCAGAGTTTCTTTGTTATTTTCAGTGGTATTCAAGCATTTAACTGCTATTTGAAGTAAGAGTTTTGGTTTCTTTTTGGCTGGGGATGCTGTAGCTCAGTGGTAGAGTGGCTGCCTAGCATACACTAAGACCCTGAGTTCAATTCCCAGAGTAAAAAAAAACAGAAATCACAAAAAGCCTTTACTTCAAGAAATACAATTTTTTATCTATACTATCCATGTATGTACAAATAATATAATAAAAATTTTATAAACAATATTTCTGTAACTTTACTCAATATAATGTGGCATTTTATTTTTTATTTATTATTTTTTGGTCTCTTGTGTGCTTTTTCCCTTTTTTATTTAAATGAGTAACAAACTTGTTTTACATGTCAATATCAGTTCCCAATCCCTCCCCTTTTGCCCTACCTCCCACCCACCCTGTATTACATCGCCTTTCTGCACTCCAGGGAGGGTGAAGACTTCCATGGGGGAAAGTCATATCATTTGGGTGTAGACCTAGACCCTCCCCCATGTGTCTAGGATGAGAGAGTATCCCTCTGTGTGGAGTGGGTCCCAAAGTCCATTTGTGTACTAGGGATAATGTGGCCTTTTATATTCTATCCCTTTTACTAGACAATTATATTAGTTATTATTCACAGAAGTGACTTAAAGTTTTCAGTCACCACTAAGGTAAAGCCCACCCCTTATAAAGCAGTGTTTTAGACTATTATTAAAACTATATTGCCTATTTCCTATACTAATAGAGCATTTATCCCAAATCAGGGTGTCAGTTGTGCACAAAAGATGCCCCACCCCCAAATGACTGACAAAGCCTTATTCCTTCCTTACATTTTCATAACATATGTACTTTTTCATAGCAATATATTTTTAACTTGTAACATCACTAATACGTGTCTTTCCCCCTTTGGTTGGACAGATATTCACAAGTTCTATACATTTTTAAAAATTATTGTTTTTTTTCTGTTTTGTGAATATTTTTGTTGGTTTCACATTTTCAATCAGTGATTTTTAATCTTATCATTTCTCCTCTGCTTATTGTACACTTTCATGGTTTTCTTTCTATTTCCTCAGGAGTAAGCTTGGATTATACTCACAGTGCTTCTTAACCTGTTGGCCATGACATCTTTGGAGTTGACTAAGACCAGGAGAATACACAGACACTTACATTATGATTAATGACTGTATCAATCATAGTTATGAAGTAATAACAAAAAAAATGTAGTTTTGGAGTCACCATAACATGAGGAACTGTATTAAAGATTCACACCATTATGAAGGTTGAGAACTTCTGGATTATATGCATTGATCTTGGCTCTTTTCTAGTGCTTTCATTCAATGTTATCAGTTTCTCCCTAAGCACTGGATTAAAGGTACATTTTATGCTTTAATATGGTATGCATTCATTTTATTCAAACTATTGCAAGATCTTTGGTGACTTCTTTTTTCCATGTATTATTCAGAAAAGTCTCATTGCATCTCCAAAATGTTGAGATTTCTCTATTATTTTTCTGGTTTTGGCTTGAATTTTAATTCCATTGAGATCTGATAAAATATTTTGTGTCATTTATCATTTTTCATATTTATTTATAATGTTATCTATCTGGTTAACTAACTATTCCACTAAACTTGAGAAGAATGTGTACTATACAACTGGATAAAGTATGTCTTTCTTTCTTTACTGGATCTGACATTATAGTAAGGGTTGCTTTATACATTGTACACAGCCTCCATTTCTCTTCTCCTTCCCACCATCACTAATCCTTTTCCTCCTTTTACTTTCATGATTTTTGGGTGTGTGTGTGTGTGTGTGTGTGTGTGTGTGTGTGTGAGAGAGAGAGAGAGAGAGAGAGAGAGAGAGAGAGAGAGAGAGAGAGAGAGAGACCCAATGGGTTAAGTTAGAACTCCTTACAGAGGAGTTTCATGCTTGTGGAAGCATGAAAACACTTATTGTGTTTAACTACTAAAGAAAATCTCTCTCCCTTTCCAGCATAATTGGATCTTCCTTAAAATTTTAACTCTGTTTCACTCTTTCCTTCAACTGACATATTTTGTTCCTTTACTAAATGAACAGAACATAAACAGATATTGGTATGAGTCATATATTTTATTATTGCACACTTAGAACTCAGGCCTCAGTACACACTGAAGAGCCACAAATGGAAATGAAGAAAAAGCAGAAGAGGAGAAAATCACTAGAGATCAGGTCTGGAGTGTGGGAAGAATGATCCTTTCTTGCATCCATCTTCACACTTGGGTTCTTGATCACGGTGAGGTGCATACTAAACTCAGTGTGCTAACTCTCTACTTTTAGGCTGTGAACTTGCAGACATAGGCTAATTCCATGTCACAATAATTATCTCTCCACTTCAGGTATCCTGCAGGCAAAAAAGAAGTAAAAATAAAAGGGGCAGGGGCATTTCATAAACTCAATGAAGGGGCATTAAGGATAGTGGTCTGGATGTCAGGGTCTTTCTGTTATCTTTATCAGTGTCTCACTCCAGTAGGAGGAGATACAAGGGAGTGAGACATGAAAGAAACAAGAGATGAAGAATAGGAGAAGAGTGGATAAACACTAGTTTTCAGGGATGGGTGCCCTTGCTCTTACCTGAATTTCGTGACAGGCTACCACAGTAACCTCCTGAAGAACTGGAAGGAGAAATCTCCCAGTTGAAGAAATTCATCACATCAGCATTACTCCACTCCCATCCACCTCCATTGGGTTCTTGTCCCTAGAGAAGTAGCAGCAATGGGAAAAGAACACCCATTAAGCTCTGCTTGCATGATCCCTTGCTGGGAAGAGCTGATACCTATATCCAGCCTCATGGAATCAATCTAGTCTTTCAGACATTGTCTTGAATTCAAACTGAACATCTGCCTAGTATTGTCACTTCTCTGCTGATACACACATGCTACTTAAATCCATAAAATATGTGGCTGTTGGTGAACATAGCAAGTTGTGTTTTTGTAAATGTCTCTGAACCTCAAAGCCCACATGAATTCTATGAATAACAAATATGGATGCCATCCTCTTTTGATGTTCTCTCAGAATCATGGGTACAAATACCCTGAGTCTCACAGAAGAACTTTCCAAAGTCTTATTTAAGAACTTTGTAAAAGTTGACTTTGGTCATTAGGGACCTCAACAGAGCCCAGGGCCATTCACCCCAGCTGTAATCTGGAGTGGGAGCTCTATGTAGAATTGGTATTTTCATCATAGAAACACAGAATGAGCCCAGGAACAAAATCAATGAGAAATAAATTAGATGGGAAGAGAAGGTATCTCACCAGCGTTGGGTCATGGAGCCCAATCCACACAGATTGACCATTATTCACACTGCTTTTAATCATGGAGGATACGAAGGAAGCCTCAGATCTGTTGAGCACAGACACAAGGTGTCCTGAGGGCCGTTTCTGGCAGGCCAACTAGGAAAGGAAGGGTAGAGTTAGTCACAGACTGAGACCTCACTTTTGAATGGAGGGCAAATGTGATGCTAGAGGCTACTGAAACAAAGACAGGATGCTCATTCTGATTCTCAAGGAACCATGGGAAATGGAGCCCACTTCTTCTGTGACTGCCATGCAACTTCCCACTTTTTCCCTCCTCTGCAGCCTCAAGCACTCACATCAGCATCAAACCATGATTTAGCAATCCTAAACAAGGCATAGCAATAGGAGCCATAGGCTCGGGATCCCTTGGGGCAGCTGATTCTTGAAGAGGGCACATCTTCCTCCACATCTTGACCTAGGGTGGAAAGAGATAAAGATAAGAGGTGCAATGAAATGAAGAGTGTGGATTTTAATGGGAAGATCAACTCAACAAATGTGTATGAAGCCTGTCTTTCGAGATTAAGTCCACAATACAGACTCTGCCACCTTTTCTTTCTCATCTTGATTTTGAAGTTGACCTACTTTATGAGCAGCAGTCGTCTTTTAATATTATGCTCCACTCTTCTATTATCCATAGATACCCAATTCTAGGCTAACAGTCTCTACATTGTCCCATCTACTCCTTCTTTCTCAATAGTTCTTTATTGACTGCTGCCATTTCCTTTTTAATCTCAAGAACTAGAAATTAATAGCAAAAGAGGAACCTCTTTAATTTCAGTAATGGGCTGCAATGATACCATCTGTTATTAGTGACTAAGATGATAGCAGGATGATGGTGAGTTGCATGCAGTGTTCCTCTGTTGGACTCTCATAATCATTAGTGCATGAGACATTCTACAGCCTTCATCTGATCCTTGGCTCTGGACACTCACATGGAATTCTGTTCGGGAAGCAGAGAAACCTTACCTTGTACCTGAGATAAGAGCATCAGGCAGGAGAGAAACATCCAGGACATCCTGGGGAGGGCCATGCTATTCAGCATCTTGTCTATGAGGGGGGGATAGGCAGAGTCATGGTAGAAAACTTGGTAAGAGAGGACATGATGAGATGACCATCCCATTCCTTCTCCTTTGACTAACTCTGTAGAGATATACTAATTTTCTCTCCAGTCTTCTCCTTTGGTTCTAAAATGAAAAGATCCCATCTTTTCTACTTCGCCTGAAAACTCCTCAGAAAACTGTTGTTCATTCTCAGAGCCCTCTGTTCTGTGAGGACAGGGACTCTCCCATACCCTCTCCTGAGTTCCCAGAGATGGACCCCAGCAAGGCTATCATATTTCAGCCCTCACTTACCCCTGTGGCAATGATCAGAAGTGGCTTGTCAGGGACAGAGATGACTGTGCATTTATAACAGAATTTGAGGGAGGGGCATCAAAGTGAATAACTGGAAGACTTATGCAAGTCAGGGAAGTAGGTGGTGCTTGGCATGAGCTCTAGGATGTTCCCATCAAAATCAAAAGTTTCTTCCTGGCAAGATTGTGAACTGCTACATATGTAGCCCTTTCCTGTTAGCAGCCCTTCTCTATTGCCACGTCTGGGTGTAGTTTGAACTTTCCCCACCTCCTCCCATATACCTTGTTCTGAGAAACTTAAGAAAATGATACTGTGCTATATGGATTATGCTGTGGCCCCATTTTCAAAACATTGTAACCTTGAGCTACTGGAGAAAACAAATATTAGCAGTGTACTTTTGTTCCACCAGAAAGAAGCTATATCTGTATATTCACATCTATATTTCTTGGCATTTGGTTTCTAAGATTTAAAATATATTAACAATTAAATTTTTGTTTAGTTAAAAAAAAATGTAACTATTGATGACGGTGGTGTATTAGTTTGAAGAGGGAAAATTTTAAGCCGAGGAAAAAAAGCCTGGACTTTGTACCAAGATTTGTGGGAAGCTTGATAATAATCTCTTGAGTCAATATTGTAGTTGAGGTTTCAAAGAACGGTGGCTGAATTAATTTGATTTCCTGATGCCTTTTTGTGGGAAAGTTGAGAAATAAGGCCTAGGTTGATTATAATTCTGAGATGTCCTCTCAAAATTGAGAGTAATATACTCAAACGTTGATCAGACACACATGGGGTATTTACAGTCCTCTCAGAATGGCATTGAAGTTGTGCTATTTTTATGGTACCGACACTTGTTTTCATGAGATCAAGAAAAGGATGGGCAAATGGTGTGTGCTTTGGCATTAATTCAGCCAGGGTCGTCAACTTGTGTCCATCACCCATGCAAATAAAGACAGAATGAAGATGATATTACACATTAGAATGACCTTGAACCCCATCAAACAATGAAGATAATATTGATAAACCTTGTCACTTAAATGTATACTTTTAAACACTGTTTGAATGTATGTGGAAGTCCTCTCCCTGAGGAACAATGTTTGTCCTGAGAAAAAGCAAGTTATCTTCCATAGCTTTTCCTGTAAGATGACTTGACATAATATGGTTCTCAAACATGTGGACATTTTAAGAAATACTTTTAAAATGTCCAGATAGAATTGGTAAATATTTTAAATGCCTACTTTAATGTCTAGTGCCATAAACATCATTGATATCTGAATAATATTAGCATTTTGATGATAATTAGGTGTTTAAAAGTTCCCTAAGAGGAAAATAGTTTGAAAAGTTGTCATTATTATCTACCTACCAATTTCCAGGAAATTGAGTGATAGGAACAGATTTTATGATATTTCAAAACAAATGCAACAAGAAAAATCCAGAAAGTGTGAATTCAATGAATTAGTAAAATAAAATAGCACAATACTTAACATCTGAGAGAAATATATGGGAAGTTCAATATGTAAAATACATTTAGATTATAATATGGAAAAATTCAATGGAAATCCAATAATTATAAGATTATAGGTGAAATGTGAGCATTTTATAAAGTTTACATGATGTGTCTTTACATGCCAACCTGGATATTGATTCTATATTATTTGAGATGATTTTTATCATTTAAAGCTTAATATGATACTTAAAAATGAATTAAGCTTCTCAGAAACATATGTATATTCTGTTGCATTATTGACAAAAATGGAGGTTTAACTCAAATAATGTAGGCAATATATGGATCTTTGCTATCTCTTAGTAACAGACATATGGGGGTTGATATTGCAGATCTTTTTGGACTTATATGATTTTTTCACTAAATGTTAGATAAAATGGAATGCTGGAAAGAAGGAAAAACTGATGACTAACATGGGAAGGAAATTTAAAGGCCAATTTTTCTCAAGAACCTACATGCAAATTTCCTGACCAAAATACTTAATAAATCAGATCTGTAAAATAAATGAAGAGAAAGGAGAATTAAACTCAGGAATGCAAATGTGGTTTCATCAGGAAGATCCATTAATGTTGGTATCATATTGAGAAATTTCCTTTTTTTGATCAAAAAAATTAAGTGATAATTCTGGAAAGAAAAAATGTACTTAGCATGCATCTAATTTTCATTAATAAGTTATGGACATTGGTAACAATCAAGATGTACATAGGAATACTTCAGTAGGGTCAACATACCTTCAAAGACTCAAAATCAAAACACTGAAAATATTTCCTTTAAAACCAGGAACATAAATTCTCCACCCTTGTGATTCTATTCAATAGTATCATATTACAGAAACCGTCAATTTTACAAAAAATATTAAACAATCAAATTAGTAAATAGTTTTTAGTATTTGAACATTCTATTTCCATAAAGAATAAAACCCTAAAGGATCTCTAAATTAATCATTAGTTAGAGAGAATATAATAAGCACAAAAAATATTGTCAAGATGTAAATTCCACTTAAGCCTTAACAGCAAAGTTAGAAAAAGTATTGTTTCCCTTTTATTAAGCGTAGATTCTTTTCTTATACAATGTATAATCTGAATGTAGGTTTCTCTCTCTCTACCCATCCCAGTTTCTCCCCATGTCCCAACCCGTCTGGATCCACTCCCTTTCTGTATTTCATTAGTAAAGAACAGGCTTCTAGGAGATAACAATAAATTTAACAGAATAAAGTATAAGACAAAAAATATCATATTGAAGTTGCAAAAGTCAACAGAAAAATAAAAGGACTTCAGGAAAATACACAAGAATCAGAGACACACTCATTCGTAGATTCAGGAGTCCCATAACAATACTAAATGTAAAAGCTATAGTATATATGCATGGGACCTGGCATAGGCCTGTGTCGACCTTTAAATTACTACTTCAGTCTCTGTGAGCTCATGTGAGCTTTGCTCAGTTGTTTTGGGAGCCACAGTTCTCCTGAAGTCTTGTCTTCCCTACTCCTTTTGCCTCTTCTGAGCTCTGAAGTTAGAGAGTTGATGAAGTTTAGAGCTGTTTGTTCCAACTGTACTCTCTCTGTCTCTGTCTCTGTCTCTTTCTGTCTCAGTCTCTCTCTGTCTCTGCCTCTCTGTCTATGTCTCTCTATATCTATCTATCTCTATCTCTATCTCCATAATGTCTGGCTGTGGGACTCTGCATCTGTTCCAATCTGCCGCAGGAGTAAGTCTCTCTGACGATGGCTCAATAACACACTGATCTATTAGCATAGAAGAATATCGTTAGGAGTCAGTTTACTTTTACTTTCCACTGCACTAGGTTTCCATACCACCCTTCAAATGCTCTTTAATTTTAGCTATCTCTCCCCTAATTCCCTCCTTAAATCCAATCTCCTCTCCCTCTTCACACCTGATCCTCCCATTTTTGTCCCCCCCACCCCCACTTGCTCTCCATTCAGGAGAAAAAGTATGAACATACTGGAGACTTCATAACTGATGATCAGTGTTGAAATCTGACAGTTCAAACATCATAGGTCACAAGTCGTGTGTTCTATAGTGCTTGGTCCTCCTTCTGCCCCATTGTAAACTTTTGTGGATCTATGAAATACCATTTGGATGAAGAAGGAAGAACTTCATCCAATGCCATGAGGCAGTTTTCAAATTTCCTCACAAACTTGAATGTAGATGAGACCAGAGAACAAGATATGTTTCTTCTGCTGTCTGATCTCAAGACACTACTTATTCAAGTCAGAAATAAATATTAAAATGCCATAATCTTCCTCTTGAATGTCTTTGCATGATCTTGCCATTATCTCTTCCTGTGATGTACAATGAACTTTCTACAAAGTTAGTGATTTGAAACAAATTATTTTCATGTTTGGTCAGTTGATTGGATTTTCCTTTGTGGTCTCTTGTTCAATCTCCAGAAAGAAAGCTACCAAAAGCCACATGTAGTACTGTATCCTTGTAACAACAGTGCTGGGGAGTCAGGGATACATGGATCTCTGTGGTCCATTGGTCAACCATCTTTGCTTGCTTGTTGAGTTCCAGGTCATGTGAGAGACAAGGAGGAAAATACCCAAGGAATAACAGCTGAGATGGTCTAGCCTCCACATACATACATACATACATACATACATAATACATGCATGCATGCCTGTATTGGCACGCATGTCCACCACTAAGAGAACCCTGAAAGACAGGCCAAGAGAGAGAGAGAATAAAATCACATGTTGCTCATTTTTGACCATTCTTTACTGACTAAACTTGAGTTTGTACCTTTGCCAACTAGTGTATTAAACTGACTAAAATTTATTTAATTATCTAATATATTTATTTATAAGTGTGGTAATTTATAATGTGTATTCAGCTTGAAAGTTAGATTTTGATATTATTTCCAAAATTAAACAAGTTAGTTTGGGTGATGACTTCATCACCTTTGACATGTGTTTCTAAGTTCTCTAATGAAATGCTAGACACAAAAATATCTGCAGTACAATTCCTAGGTTTCCTATTTTTGAGAAATAGTAGAATGTCATGAATGTAGATCAGAGAGCCCCCTCGAAATGTATTTATTGCTATCATACTAAAACCTCAATCTGCAGGAAGAATAATTTCTTTTTGGTCATAGAGGTCATCTGTAAGAATCTATGGAAATAGAAAATGATAGCAGAATTAGCCTTAAGTGGAGCCACTATAGATAATTCTA